AATCGGGTCTTCGGGCGTCACGGGCCGGGTGTGTCGACGTCCGCGGACGTCGTGCACTTCTCACTCAGTAATACATCGCGACCCGTTCGACGTCGGCCTAAGCGCCGTCCGGGAGCCCAGTCGACCCTTCAAAACGGACGGCTGGACCGTGACGGTGGCCGACCGGCCGTCGGACGGTAGAAGACACGAATCGCGCACGCGCACCTTATACAAAGCGCGTCCGGCCCGACGCAAGACAACGTCGTAATCGAGGTCCTGCCGTTGTGCGGACATCGGTGCGGCGCGTCTGTTGTCGCCGCCGTGCAGTCTCGGACCGTGCGCGTCTCAGTCGGCGATGATTCAGTTTCGGGCACTCGCAGGACCCGTCTTGAAACACGGACCAAGGAGTCTAGCATGTGTGCGAGTCATTGAGTTACGTATAAACTGAAAGGCGCAACGAAAGTGAAGGCGTGCGCTTGTCGCGCGCTCAGGGAGGATGGAGCGTCGGTCTCGATCGACCTCTCGCACTCCCGAGGCGTCTCGTTTCCAATCCGTGAATGTAGGCGCGCTCTGAGCAGAGATGCTGGGACCCGAAAGATGGTGAACTATGCCTGGTCAGGTCGAAGTCAGGGGAAACCCTGATGGAGGACCGTAGCGATTCTGACGTGCAAATCGATCGTCGGAACTGGGTATAGGGGCGAAAGACTAATCGAACCATCTAGTAGCTGGTTCCGTCCGAAGTTTCCCTCAGGATAGCTGGCGTCGATGACGAACAGTCTCATCCGGTAAAGCGAATGATTAGCGGCATTGGGGCCGAAACGACCTCAACCTATTCTCAAACTTTAAATGGGTGAGAACTCCGGCTTACTCGAACGATGAAGCCGGAGATCTGATGACGGTGCCAAGTGGGCCAATTTTGGTAAGCAGAACTGGCGCTGTGGGATGAACCAAACGTAGTGTTAAGGCGCCTAAAAAACGCTCATGGGACACCATGAAAGGCGTTGGTCGCTCATGACAGCAGGACGGTGGCCATGGAAGTCGGAATCCGCTAAGGAGTGTGCAACGACTCACCTGCCGAAGCAACCAGCCCTGAAAATGGATGGCGCTGAAGCGTTTTGCCTATACACTACCGTTACGGGCAAGTGCGACGTGTTAACCACACATGTCGTCATTACGCCGTAACGGGTAGGACGTGCGCGGCGGAGAGCGCAGAAGGGTCTGGGCGTGAGCCCGCCTGGAGCCTCCGTCGGTGCAGATCTTGGTGGTAGTAGCAAATACTCCAGCGAGGCCCTGGAGGACTGACGTGGAGAAGGGTTTCGCGTGAACAGTAGTTGCTCGCGAGTCAGTCGATCCTAAGCTCAAGGAGAGATCTTATGTCGATGTGGCGTGTTTTTTCTTTCTAATTTTAATAATTTTAGATGATAAATAACGCCCTTTGAGCGAAAGGGAATCCGGTTCCTATTCCGGAACCCGGCAGCGGAACCGTTTCAATAATCGTTCCCTCGTTTCAAAGCGAGTGTTCGACGGGGTAACCCAAAGTGGCCTGAAGACGCCGCCGAGGGGTCCGGGAAGAGTTTTCTTTTCTGCCTGAGCGTTCGAGTTCCATGGAATCCTATAGAAGGGAGATATGGTTCGGAACGCGAAGAGCACCGCATTTGCGGCGGTGTCCGGATACTCTCTGCGGACCTTGAAAATTCAGGTGAGGGATGTACGTGGAGATGTCGCGCCGGTTCGTACCCATATCCGCAGCAGGTCTCCAAGGTGAAGAGCCTCTACGACTACGTCGTCGGTACTCGTACTGAGCGGACGTATTTGTGCGCTCTCGCGTAGCTTCGTGTAGTATTATTTAGTAATTTTGGTGTTTTCCTTAAACTTTTGTGTAAATTTCTGCTTATAATAACCTTTCTAAATATTGTGTGTCGAATAAAATAAAACTGTGTAGTATTAGTGTATTTTAAGATACTTTTATAGGAATAAGCACGTGTTTTAAGGTTAAGACCACGCGGTTACCGCGTGGTATATTTGTGTGTTGTGTCACTGTACTAATTGGATATTAAACTGTGAGTACTTTATTATTAGTTATAGTGATAATTATATAGAATTAGTTATTAAAAAGAAGACATTTTAGATTTATCATTAGGTTTTAGTGTTTTGGCACGTGGTTGTAATAGTTTGACATTGACAGCCGTCATCTAACGTGACGTTGATGACAGTGACGTTGACAGCTGTCGTCTGTCACTGTGACTGACGTCTCGGTTGCGTTCCGTTTTTATATTTGACTCTGCATTATACTGTTATTGACTTTTTAAATATTACTTGTTAGTTTTTTAATATAATAATGGCTGACGACGAGGAGTTATTCACTCCTCGTAGATCGTTGGTGAGGACCCCGCCGGGCCCATCTAGTCGGCCGGTTGCATTGCCACCCCCACCACCAGCGGGGCCGGAGAAGCGCCCTCTGCCGTCACCGGAAGAGGTGCAGCCATCTTCGCAGCGTGCAAGGGTGGGCAAGCGAACTGAGCCTCGCCGGAGTGTGGCCCCGGCGGCAGGTCTACCAACCAGGGACGTGGAAGGATCTGCCCCAGAACTGGAAGAGGAGGACTGCCTAAGGGAGGAACCCCGTGGCGCAAAGGGTAGCTTTAAAGCTTCCACTGCGTCCAAGCTGGAGGTGATCGACCAGGTTCGGGAAGCAGTGCGGGGCATCTTGGGCGTTGTCACAGGACCCGGATCGAAACTGAATAAGACGGAGGTAAATAAGATAGCTGCCTATGGCCATGACCTTATTGCCATGGTGGCGACTATGCAGGTGCATATGTCGGAGCTGGAACTGGCAAGGCTAAGGGCTGAGAAGGACAAACTTGGAGCTGAAGGAAAACTGGCGCAGGTCGAGGCAGGAGTTCCTTGCCACGTGACGGACCCGGCACCGCAACGCTCCTACTCTGCGACACTGAGGTTGCCTAAGGGATCAGACCAGGATCTGATGCCTGTCAGCAAAGGACCGGTCGTTGCTTTTTACCCAGCAGAAGCGGAAGGACCCATTAAGACAGCAGAGGACACCAAACTGGAGTTGAAGAAGGCAGTCAACCCAAAGACGAGCGGACTGCAAATTGACAAATTAAGGAAAGTGGGAAATGCAGGTGTCGTGGTCCAGACCACGTCCCAGGAGGCGGCTGAGAGGCTGAAAACAGCGGCGCCTCCATCACTTAGAGTGTCAGAGCCCAGGCAGCGCCAACCCCTGGTTGCTCTTAGAGGTTTTGAAGAGGACCCAAGGAATGAGGACGTACTTAGCGGCCTCTATGAGCAGAACTTGGCTGCTAGTGGCTGGAGCGAACAAAAATTAAAAGATAGCTGCAGAATTGCATTCAAAAAATCGTGGAGAGGTAGCAGGAGGACGACAGTCATTCTACAGTGTTCGCCCGCCTTGAGGGACGTCCTGATTGGGCATAACCGACTATACATCGGCTGGGACGTGGTGGAGCCGTGCGATTATGTGGATATCACGTGCTGCCAGAAATGCCAGCAGTACGGGCATCCGGCTAAATACTGCCGTTCTAAGGAGACCGTGTGTGGGAAATGTGGGGAGACGGGACACGAGCGTGGGGCTTGTAAAGCAACAGAAGAGAAGTGTGCCACATGCAAGCGTTTTGGCCGTCCCGACTCTGGCTCGCACGTGACCATGGCAAGGAACTGTCCAGCAAGGCTGTACGCAGAGCAACGCTCCGTGGCCACCACACAATACTGTCGATAAGGGCGTCCCTTCTGTTAATATAGGACAAATAAACCTGGGTCGGGGGGAGCTCGCCACGGCTGAGTTGTCCATCCTGGCGCGTGAACTGCACCTGGACATTGTTCTTGTACAAGAACAGTACTCCCAGGCTGCGGGGATCGTCCAGGTGGGCGATCATCCGTGGGCGGGTGTCTATCTTGCCGACCCAACACTTGGAGCAGCTGTGCTTAGTCACCTAAGTAATGAGTTTTGTGTGGTGTGTCACGTAAATCGATGGGACCTCTACGTGGTGTCAGCGTACTTCAAATTTAGCGACGCCATCGACGACCACCTACACCACCTAGAGGTCACCCTGAGTTGCCTAAAGGGCAGAAGGGTAATTATCGGCCTCGACGCCAATGCGCACTCGCCACTCTGGCATAGCGATCGACGGCACTACGTGGGAAGAGGCCAAAACGTTTTATACCGAAGACAGATGATGGAGGACTTTATACTTTCACAGACACTCACACTCGCAAATCAGCACGACCAGCCGTACACATACTGTGGACCTGGAGGAGAGTCAAATGTGGACCTCACTCTGACAAGTGGAGATGTCCACGTCACTGAGTGGCGAGTGCACGAGGGGGTCTGCGCCAGCGACCACAACTTAATTACATACACGGCCACTACCAGCAGGCCGACCACGCGCGCAGCACCTGTTAGGGATCCTCCTCGTTTTCGTGACCGAGGGGTGGATTGGGACAGGTTCCGGGCGATTGTCAAATTGCGAATGGGATGGTTGCATGTGGAAAAACCCGCGGCTCTCCTGGCGGAGGAGTTCTCAGGGGTCATCATCCGCTCCGCGGAGGAGGGCCTAGGGGAGCGTCGCCCCAGGGGGTCGGCGGGGTATGAATGGTGGACCTCTGAACTAGATAAAATTAGAAAGTTGCAGTGTAAACTCAGGCGTGTATGGCAGAGTAAAAGGCGTTTAGGAGGTGGGTCGGAGGAGATGGCCAGAATGGCTTTTCATAACGTGCGTGCGAGATACAGGAGGATGATGGTGGAGGCGCAGCAGTCGCATCACGTGAAGGTTGCCAACTCTGGCAATGAGGATCCATGGGGCATGGCGTACAGGTTGGCCAGCGGGAGGGTGCGTCCCCCTGCAAACGTGGTCAATGGAATCGCCTTTGCAGGTGGGCACCCGGATAACATCGCAACAGCGATGGTTGACCTTGTGTCGGCGCTCTGTCCTGATGACAGGCCTGAACGTGACATGCCTTATCACCAGCAGGTTCGCCTACTGGCGGCATTCATGCCGTCTGGTGGGGCTGCGTCTCCGCTTGCGGTTGGGGAGCTGGGAGGTATAGTCAAGGCTTTGCCTAACACGGCTCCGGGACTTGATGGAGTGAGTGCGCGAATTGTGAGGAATGTTTGGATGGCTGCACCGAGGGAATTCCACTTGGTGTACGCCAAGTGTGTGGTAGAGGGGGTTTTCCCTTATGTATGGAAGGACGGAAGATTGATTGTCATTCCCAAGGGTAATGACAAGCCGCTCACTGACGCCAAGGCATACCGTCCGATAACGCTCCTCCCTGTCTTGGGAAAAGTACTGGAACGAGTAATGCTGAGATGTGCTCCTGCGATTAGTCGCGGGATATCTGAGCACCAGCACGGTTTCTCTCCGGGGCGATCTACAGTAACAGCGCTGCGTGTCTTGCTCAGCACAGCAAGGTATTCTCGGGCATGCTACGTACAAGCAATCTTTTTAGATATCTCCGGCGCCTTCGACAACGCCTGGTGGCCGATGATGATGGTCAAAGCGAAACGAGGTGGTTGTCCACCTAACATTTACAAAATGCTGGTGGACTACTTCACCTCCAGACGTGTGGGCCTCTACATCGGTGACCGGGTTGAGTGGAAGACGTCGACCATGGGATGTCCTCAAGGCTCTGTGCTGGGCCCAACACTGTGGAATGTATTGATGGACGATCTCCTCCGACTCCCTCTGCCTGAGGGAGTAACCATGACTGCCTACGCTGACGACGTTACAATTCTGATTGAATCTGAAACCAGAGCGGGTATCGAATCCTTCGTGCGTGCAATTCTCGTGCGGCTTCGAGCCGCACGAGATTGAGCAATAACAGGTCTGTGATGCCCTTAGATGTCCTGGGCCGCACGCGCGCTACACTGAAGGAATCAGCATGTTCTCCCTGGCCTAGAGGCCCGGGCAACCCGTTGAAACTCCTTCGTGCTGGGGATTGGGGTTTGCAATTATCCCCCATAAACGAGGAATTCCTAGTAAGCGCGAGTCATAAGCTCGCGTTGATTACGTCCCTGCCCTTTGTACACACCGCCCGTCGCTACTACCGATTGAATGATTTAGTGAGGTCTTCGGACCGACACGCGGTGGCTTCACGGCCGTCGGCGTTGTTGGGAAGTTGACCAAACTTGATCATTTAGAGGAAGTAAAAGTCGTAACAAGGTTTCCGTAGGGGAACCTGCGGAAGGATCATTAACGTATATATGATGTATTATAATGATACATTATATGTATATATAATCCAAATAACAATTAAAAAAATTGTTCCGATCTGTGGTCGTGTCGTCGTCACTACGCGTTCACCACTGCTTCTATCCGAACGTGTGTGTCACGTTCTCTAAACGCCCTATCGAGTTATATTATATAAAAATATAATAAGATACGACGCGTTGAGATTGTGACGCGCGCGCGAGGTATAAACAGTTTGTGTGTGCGTGCGGTGTGTGTGTGATGTGATCACTTTGAGGAACGAGCGCGAACCGGGACAAATAAAACGGAACGAGGACCTGGCAAGAATCCGCGCCACTAGTTCCGGTCCGATAATGGTACGCGCTATATTAAATGAATTAAACCCCGATGCGGTTTTAGAATACGAACGCGAAAGGCGGATCATTAAAAGAAGTCCGTAGTACCGTTCATTTCTAAACGTTAAAACGTTTCTCTAACGTTCACACTGCCCCCTCAATCTTTCGAGATTTCGGGGTGAGAGCGAGCGTAAGAGGACGCGTTAACACAATATTTTTTTATAATATAACAACCAAAAAATATACCCGACGATACGGGACCGGGAGACCGGACCTGTAACTTTGGTGTGTAACATTTATTAGTTAACAACATATACAAACTATTACCCTGGACGGTGGATCACTTGGCTCGCGGGTCGATGAAGAACGCAGTTAACTGCGCGTCATAGTGTGAACTGCAGGACACATTTGAACATCGACATTTCGAACGCACATTGCGGTCCGTGGAGAAATATCCAGGACCACTCCTGTCTGAGGGCCGGCTGTTAAAAAACATTAACCACACTGTTCTTACGAACAATTGACGGTTCCGTTGAGAGACGCGATACGTGAGTGTGTTTGCGTTGCGTATTCTTTCGGTCCGTTTAAATATTATATAATAATTGTGTGTGTATCGCGACTGATTTTCAATATAAAATTAGTCTATCACATCGCACAAGACGCGTTAAGCGGCGAGCTGGCTTAGTCCCCTCGACGCGCGACTCTTCGACGTTAAAACTCGATAGAGGGCATGCGCGATATTCGTGCGGTGACTTCGTTCGGCACGTGTTGTGTGGTGTGCGATTGATTTGTTTTGAAAATATATGTTAGATACACGACATACACAACAACCAAAAGTAGGCGGACTCGACGTCCGAAGAGCGCCTCGACGACTGCGACGTCGTTTCGTTAACGGTGTCGTACTGTCGTCGTTGCGCTGACGGATATCGTGTCTGCCTCGATTTTTATCGTTGGCCTCAGATCAGGGAGGATCACCCGCCGAATTTAAGCATATTAGTAAGCGGAGGAAAAGAAACTAACAAGGATTTCCTTAGTAGCGGCGAGCGAACAGGAATGAGCCCAGCACTGAATCCCGCGATCGTCTCGAACGCGGGAGATGTGGTGTTCGGGAGGTTCCGCTTTCTCGTCGTCGATACTCCTGTCCAAGTTCGTCTTGAACGGGGCCGTTTTCCCGTAGAGGGTGCCAGGCCCGTAGCGACGGAGGGCGGCGGCGAGAGGGACTCTCCTAAGAGTCGGGTTGCTTGAGAGTGCAGCCCTAAGTGGGTGGTAAACTCCATCTAAGGCTAAATATTACCGCGAGACCGATAGCGAACAAGTACCGTGAGGGAAAGTTGAAAAGAACTTTGAAGAGAGAGTTCAAGAGTACGTGAAACCGTTCAGGGGTAAACCTGCGAAACTCGAATGAACGAACGGAGAGATTCATCGTCATTCCGCGGCGTACGCGCTCGCGCTCTGATGACGTTCGTGTCCCTTAATCGGGTCTTCGGGCGTCACGGGCCGGGTGTGTCGACGTCCGCGGACGTCGTGCACTTCTCACTCAGTAATACATCGCGACCCGTTCGACGTCGGCCTAAGCGCCGTCCGGGAGCCCAGTCGACCCTTCAAAACGGACGGCTGGACCGTGACGGTGGCCGACCGGCCGTCGGACGGTAGAAGACACGAATCGCGCACGCGCACCTTATACAAAGCGCGTCCGGCCCGACGCAAGACAACGTCGTAATCGAGGTCCTGCCGTTGTGCGGACATCGGTGCGGCGCGTCTGTTGTCGCCGCCGTGCAGTCTCGGACCGTGCGCGTCTCAGTCGGCGATGATTCAGTTTCGGGCACTCGCAGGACCCGTCTTGAAACACGGACCAAGGAGTCTAGCATGTGTGCGAGTCATTGAGTTACGTATAAACTGAAAGGCGCAACGAAAGTGAAGGCGTGCGCTTGTCGCGCGCTCAGGGAGGATGGAGCGTCGGTCTCGATCGACCTCTCGCACTCCCGAGGCGTCTCGTTTCCAATCCGTGAATGTAGGCGCGCTCTGAGCAGAGATGCTGGGACCCGAAAGATGGTGAACTATGCCTGGTCAGGTCGAAGTCAGGGGAAACCCTGATGGAGGACCGTAGCGATTCTGACGTGCAAATCGATCGTCGGAACTGGGTATAGGGGCGAAAGACTAATCGAACCATCTAGTAGCTGGTTCCGTCCGAAGTTTCCCTCAGGATAGCTGGCGTCGATGACGAACAGTCTCATCCGGTAAAGCGAATGATTAGCGGCATTGGGGCCGAAACGACCTCAACCTATTCTCAAACTTTAAATGGGTGAGAACTCCGGCTTACTCGAACGATGAAGCCGGAGATCTGATGACGGTGCCAAGTGGGCCAATTTTGGTAAGCAGAACTGGCGCTGTGGGATGAACCAAACGTAGTGTTAAGGCGCCTAAAAAACGCTCATGGGACACCATGAAAGGCGTTGGTCGCTCATGACAGCAGGACGGTGGCCATGGAAGTCGGAATCCGCTAAGGAGTGTGCAACGACTCACCTGCCGAAGCAACCAGCCCTGAAAATGGATGGCGCTGAAGCGTTTTGCCTATACACTACCGTTACGGGCAAGTGCGACGTGTTAACCACACATGTCGTCATTACGCCGTAACGGGTAGGACGTGCGCGGCGGAGAGCGCAGAAGGGTCTGGGCGTGAGCCCGCCTGGAGCCTCCGTCGGTGCAGATCTTGGTGGTAGTAGCAAATACTCCAGCGAGGCCCTGGAGGACTGACGTGGAGAAGGGTTTCGCGTGAACAGTAGTTGCTCGCGAGTCAGTCGATCCTAAGCTCAAGGAGAGATCTTATGTCGATGTGGCGTGTTTTTTCTTTCTAATTTTAATAATTTTAGATGATAAATAACGCCCTTTGAGCGAAAGGGAATCCGGTTCCTATTCCGGAACCCGGCAGCGGAACCGTTTCAATAATCGTTCCCTCGTTTCAAAGCGAGTGTTCGACGGGGTAACCCAAAGTGGCCTGAAGACGCCGCCGAGGGGTCCGGGAAGAGTTTTCTTTTCTGCCTGAGCGTTCGAGTTCCATGGAATCCTATAGAAGGGAGATATGGTTCGGAACGCGAAGAGCACCGCATTTGCGGCGGTGTCCGGATACTCTCTGCGGACCTTGAAAATTCAGGTGAGGGATGTACGTGGAGATGTCGCGCCGGTTCGTACCCATATCCGCAGCAGGTCTCCAAGGTGAAGAGCCTCTACGACTACGTCGTCGGTACTCGTACTGAGCGGACGTATTTGTGCGCTCTCGCGTAGCTTCGTGTAGTATTATTTAGTAATTTTGGTGTTTTCCTTAAACTTTTGTGTAAATTTCTGCTTATAATAACCTTTCTAAATATTGTGTGTCGAATAAAATAAAACTGTGTAGTATTAGTGTATTTTAAGATACTTTTATAGGAATAAGCACGTGTTTTAAGGTTAAGACCACGCGGTTACCGCGTGGTATATTTGTGTGTTGTGTCACTGTACTAATTGGATATTAAACTGTGAGTACTTTATTATTAGTTATAGTGATAATTATATAGAATTAGTTATTAAAAAGAAGACATTTTAGATTTATCATTAGGTTTTAGTGTTTTGGCACGTGGTTGTAATAGTTTGACATTGACAGCCGTCATCTAACGTGACGTTGATGACAGTGACGTTGACAGCTGTCGTCTGTCACTGTGACTGACGTCTCGGTTGCGTTCCGTTTTTATATTTGACTCTGCATTATACTGTTATTGACTTTTTAAATATTACTTGTTAGTTTTTTAATATAATAATGGCTGACGACGAGGAGTTATTCACTCCTCGTAGATCGTTGGTGAGGACCCCGCCGGGCCCATCTAGTCGGCCGGTTGCATTGCCACCCCCACCACCAGCGGGGCCGGAGAAGCGCCCTCTGCCGTCACCGGAAGAGGTGCAGCCATCTTCGCAGCGTGCAAGGGTGGGCAAGCGAACTGAGCCTCGCCGGAGTGTGGCCCCGGCGGCAGGTCTACCAACCAGGGACGTGGAAGGATCTGCCCCAGAACTGGAAGAGGAGGACTGCCTAAGGGAGGAACCCCGTGGCGCAAAGGGTAGCTTTAAAGCTTCCACTGCGTCCAAGCTGGAGGTGATCGACCAGGTTCGGGAAGCAGTGCGGGGCATCTTGGGCGTTGTCACAGGACCCGGATCGAAACTGAATAAGACGGAGGTAAATAAGATAGCTGCCTATGGCCATGACCTTATTGCCATGGTGGCGACTATGCAGGTGCATATGTCGGAGCTGGAACTGGCAAGGCT